TTAAAATATAGCAGCGCCAATTTTTTTTTTTTTTAAGATGAAAGTCTGTTTTTTTTTAAGATGAAAGTCTGTCATGACCCATTTGCAATATTAAATTAATAAAATGGATGAATAGTGTTATCATGACTTTCATGACTTTCGTTTTAAATAGAGAGATAACCTATTTACCATGAAAAAGCCATTTCAATTGGTATAAGTCAACCAGTATTTATTGTATTCTATTTTTTACGGTTCTTTTTTTTATTAAAATTATTCTCAATTTTTTATTAAAATTATTTTAAAAAAAATTGATCTGTTATATATGTATCCTAAATTCATGGGTTTGTGGATTTAATTTAAGTAAATTTCGACTGATGCTTACAATTTTGCAAAAGTAAAATTTTTTTCTCATTTTAAATTAAAAAAAAATTGATTATCATAAAATCATAAATTTTGAATTTAGTAAAATACTATCACATATATTTTTTCTAATTGCAACACGTCAATGGTTAAAAAAAAAATCGAGTTGCCTAGAAATCGAGTTAATTGAGGTCAAATTCGGCATGACAAGTTGGTAAAAGTCAAAATTCTCTCATTTTTTATTAAAAAAATTTGTTTACCACAAAATCGAGAATTTTGAATTAAAAATACTATAACATGTATCTTTATCTAATTGCAACAGATCATGTTTATTAATAAATAAATAAATAAATCGGATTGCATAGAAATCGAGCCCAATTTGAAATTAATATAAAACAGAGTCAAATAATATTAATTTAAAATTTAAAGTAAAATCGAATTGAAACATCCTAAATATTTAGGTATTGTTTACTAATTTAGAATACAAATTTGAAATTGACTGCATACACTTACATAATTTTTCACTTCCTTAAATTAAGTAATTTACAATTTTCAAACAATAAGGCTGTAGATTTTCAAGAAAGATGTTTTACAATCTATGTTATATTTGCCTATGCAATTTGTATACAAAGATGTGTTTATTAATGTATAAGTTATATTTTGTTTTATTTCAATACATGTTTTTTTACGTTCTTCCAATCATATCCAAATCTAAATGCCTACCTTAATAAAATTATCCCGGGCGGGCATCGCACGGTATCTCACTAGTTATTATATTGTATAAGTAAAGGAACTGTAAAATCGCAGGGAAAGCAGAGAGAATCGATCGCGTTACCTAAGAGATGGGAGACGTCGAGGTGGTGAAGAACGAGGCTATGGAGATTATGGGACTCTTTCAGCTACTGCCTCGCCTTGTCGTCTTCGATCTCGATTACACTCTGTGGCCTTTCTACTGGTAATTTATCTAATCTTTTCTCTTCGCCTCTGATAATCGATTTCATGCCCAATTTTGTAAATTAGGGTTTTTTTTTTTTTTTCTTCATTGAAGTTCTCGTTTGTTCTGAACTTCTGATCGTAATAAATGTTTAAATTTCTGTAAAATACGAATGAATTTTTGGAAGTTTTTTTTTTTTCCTTCATCAACTGATAATAATTGAACATGCTCCTCAAAAATTTGCCTGGAAACTCAGATTGAAATTTTAGATGTGAAAGGGTTGGTCGATAATACTGTTTGTAAACGTTTATTTTCACAAATTTGTAGTGAATGTCGGTCCAAACGTGAGACTCCGAGACTGTATCCTCATGCTAAGGGCATTCTGTATGCTCTCAAGGAAAAAGGTGTTGGTGTTGCTATTGCATCAAGATCACCAACTCCCGATATAGCCAACTCCTTTCTCGATAAGTTGGGGATAAAATCGATGTTTGTTGCTCAGGTAAGCTTGTGTATAGCAATAGAATCAAATTTTCCCAATAATTGCAGAGCTTATGTGTTAGAATTTTAGGTACAAAAAACTCCAGTTTTTTGTTTCCAAATTAAAAGTTACGAATCTAGTTAAAATTTAGCCTACAAGTGAGAAACACTTGTAGACTAAGGGAACAAGGCCAAATATTCCACTAGAACAAACCAAGCAGAAAGTTTCAACACGTTCCGACTAATCTAGTGAAAGAACCAAAATATATCACAAATTCAACGGGTCGAATGATTATCAAAACAAACTATCATATAATTATAATGAACCAAAATACTCCCAAGTGAAGAGAGTGATAAATGAGTAGCAATCAATATAGAGCGAGTTCGTAGAATGATGAATTGCTTGATCTCCAAGTTCCATCCCTATCTTCCAAAAAAGTTCACAAATTCCCTTTGTTGTAGCTTGCTCGTCTGTCTACTTCCACCTCGCAAGCTGTTGTTGCTCCGCTCTCTCCGTTTTTCCTTCTTTTTTTTCTTGTTATTTGCTCAAGATATCCATAGTTTTAAATGGCGAATGGCGAGGCGAGGCGATTCGCCCATAGCCTCGCCACGAGGCGAGGCGATTCGCCATGGCGAGGCCTCGGCAACACAAGCCATCAAAGCTTAAAAAATATATTTATATAGGTAGTAATATCATATATTTAAGTTTAAGTGTAAAAAATAACCTTAAATATCCTCAAAGAAAATAATATAAATTAAATTTGGTTGTAATTACTAAAAGCATCTCAAACTTAAATGTGAATACTAGTAACAATACAAAAAAAAAAAAAATGAATTTACACTGTGTAGTAACATAAAATAGAAAAATGTTAAAGAGGTAAATAAAAAGGGTAAAGTAAAAGTAAATGAAATAAAGACGTTGCACCCTTTCACCTTTGACTATTGACCATACTAGTAAACATAAATAAAAGTAAAAAAATGAAGAAATAAGAAAAAGAAAGAAGGTAGAACAGGAAAACAGAGATAAGGGAGAAGGAAAAGAAAGGAAAAAACATGCATCACCGACCATCTTGGCGGCGAGATGGTGGCCGGAGTTCAGAGGAGGACGGAAATGGATGGGTCAGCCGTGGGCTTCTACAATTTTCAAACATGAGACCTAAGGAGTGCTTTCACATAACCCTAGTTTGGGGAGAAGCCATTTAGGGATTTTTCACCTTCAGCTTTCGTATTCTCGGTCTAAAACTGTAGTTGTCAGTTCGTGTAGTTGTCAGTTCGTGGGTATGAAGTGAAGAAAGAGTCTTTTAATTTTATTCTCTTTTTTTAAAAAAAAAATAAATGTACTGCACCTTTAATTTCTTTGAAAGGTGCTGAGGCGCGCCTCACAGGCGCCTCTCGCCACGTGAAAAGGCGAGTCGAGGCGACCTGAAGCGAGCGCCTCGCGAACAGGGTCGCCTCAGGCAGTGGCGAGGTGATGTAGCCCATGCCTCGGTCGCCTCGCCTCAAGGCGTCGCCATTTTAAACTATGAAGATATCTCATTTTCCTTCTTATTCCTAGTAGAAACCTATTAAGAAAAGGAAACACATATCAAATACTATTCTATCATAAATACTAATATAATTTTATACAATTATATTTACCTGTAAAACTAAACTATCGGAAAAACAAAAGAAATAAATAACAAAAACATATCAACATTATGTGACAATAAGGCTTGTTAGAATCTACTTGTTTTTATGAGGCATTATTGACCCGTGTTTGAATTTGACTTCCCATCTGAAAATTTTCCTTCTACTGTTGAATTGCAAGACAATATAATTAAAATTGATTTCATCTAGAGATAATAGAGTGGTGAGGATTTGACTGATAATGAGGAATGTGCGAGTGGAGAAACACTGGAACTTGAGGAAAACGATTAGTAATGATGAACAAAAATGCCCACAGCTTGATTCAAGGGGTGTAAAAGTTTGCTATTTCCATTGAAGAAGGTTGTGCCAAGACGGCTCAAACATGCCTGTTTTGGGAATATATTATGTCAATATGAGACCTTAATGAATCGAGCTCATTCAATTCTGATATGAAACTTTGGCAAACCATGTTGGATCGTACTGGGTTAGCGAAATTTTTAAATTTCCTTCAAAATATGAAATAAATAAATAAATAAATAAAGGGTAATGAAGATATTTATATCTGAGATTCATAATGCTTTCAAAAAAAAAAAAAAA